AAGATCGTCGTGTCCGTGAGCCTTCGCGCAGGTTTCCCTCTTCATCCGGATGTGGTTGGGAGACTGTAGAGCCTTCATGCAGGCTAGTAGTTGTTGTAGAGGTCTTCATAGCAGCCTTCTCCTGAGCGAAGCGACGTTCCATCATCTGGTCTGTAAACTGTTGCATGAACAGTCCCGGGAACTTCAGAACTTCAGTTCTACGGTGTCTGAAGAGACTGCTGCAGGGATGATGCATCTGATACTGAAGAGACGTCATCTAAGGCTCGCTGCACTTGTGAAGAGTTGACGCTGCTGCTATCTCTGGTACCTGATGTCTACGTTGATAGAAGGTCTTCTGTCAATGTCTGCTCTGATAACAATGCCGATGTAGCTGTAGAAGCAGCCTTCGTCTTACTGACGATGGTGACTTCAGGTATGAGGATGGGTGGATCATCATAAACATCTGCTTCTTCCAGAGGAACAATCTCGGCTGAGCACAACCTCGTCTTCTGTGTACAGCTGATCTTAGACTTCACTGATGTCTTCATGGTAGTAGCCCTTTCTTCTGCGAAGATGATGATTTAACCTTCTTTATCTGCGATGGGGTCAGCTCAGTAGACGATGATCTCTTATGGTCTCTGGCGTTCACCCCTGGTACATCGACCGGCTCCCAAGAAACGTTCAGCAATTCACTGGAATTATGAATATCTGCAGCAGTGGTTAACACACAGTTATCAGCGCAATCACTCGATATAGACATGACTTGTGAATACCTTCGTACCCAGTCCTTAGCACGTCTATGGATGCAAAAAAGGTAATTAGTAAATTCAACCAAAGTTAAATTTACACAAAACTTACAGCGAGAGCTGAAAGAACATGAAACAGTGCAATTAGGACATAATAAATGAGGGTCAGCCGTAGACACTCGCTACCTACAACGAATACAAGTTTTCAACAAATGTAAACATGAAGAAAACACATGTCAAACAACAGAAAATTTAGATTAAATTTCAAACCGTAATGTAGAATATAATCCTAAAAACCGTATACAGCAATAATTTTGCTTTAAGGTCTGAAAATATAAAAGGATATGTGCCGTATGAGGACCCAGGTGCTCTCACAACCGTCCTCAAGGGCGAAGAAAGAGAGTGACAAATATGGCCGATCATGTGACCATTTGGGCACCAAAAGGGAGGAAAGGGACGCTACTCGTGGGTGAGTGATTTTACGTCCGCTTTTTTAGAAGGGAACTTCAAGGGATTTCAAGTGTTCCACTATCATTCGCAAGAGGGAGGAGACAAGCATAATTAGCATGAGTCAGGATAAGGAAAAATTTGGGTACATCCTTAATCTATGCTAATTATCCACCTTTAGATTCATACAATCAAATCGACTATTGAAATTACTTTACAAAAATGAAATTTTTAGAGTAAAATTAATATTTTATACTTATCCTGACTCATGCTTATTGCTTGTCTTCTTCTTCTTGCGAACATAGTGGAACACGTGTATCTCCCAATTGAAGTTCCCTTCAATTAAAAAATCACTAATTAGTACTCACCATGAGTTACCTCCCTTCCACAAGCGCGGGAACGAAGGCCTGAACCCATGTGCCTCACTCTCTCCTTTTGTTTCGAGCCCGACACTTTATTTTTCCGAAGAAATCCAAAGGGTTAAGTGGGGAGGACGGGAGGGCTTACCTCATGAGTCAGGATAAGTATAAAATATTAATTTTACTCTAAAAATTTCATATTTTTCCTTATCCTGACTCATGCTTATTGCTTGTAGAATCCGACGGAAAAGGAGGTGGGAATATATATACTTTGGATTTTAATAATTAGTGATTTGAACTGTGATGATTGTAATAACCCTATGGGAACTTCATAAAGGCACTGAACTGATGAATTCCTGCTGTTTAACTTATCAGCTGCCATATAAAGGTTATTACAATTTATAGAATATGATAAAAGTATATACAACATTAATGTAAGCTGAAGCTATTAATGTGATAATATAAACTTCTGTGAGTTTATAGTGGATACTTTTATAAATTAACCAAAGTATTAAGCTTAAGATATGCATATATTTAAGCTATAATAGTATAGTACTGTGCTTAAGATATAATTATAACTTAAGCTGTATAATAGTAACCAACTCCTTAGAGTTTGTTAGCTAATACATTTAAGCATATGACCATATGACTGAGCTTAAGGATTGATGAAACTTAAGCTGAACATATATATATAGTAGCAAAACTCCTAGGAGTTGTAAGCTTATATATAGTATGATATAAAAACCATAGTACTGAGCTTAAGATAATAAATTAAACTGAAGCAAAATATATAGATAGCATGTAGCTATTAGTACTGTTATCAGATAAGTATAAATTCTGTAAGATAGACTTATCTTCTCCATGGAACTGTCAACTGTTGAGCGAGGACCATGGGACCGAAATGGTATAGAGATTCTGTAAATTGCTTATCCCAAGAGCAGGAGGCTAGTAAGCCTAGCCGACGAGCCATGGTAGTAGTTTCAGTAAGCGCTGATAGGTGCTCTGTAAGAAATTGGTGGTCTCTTTTCTGCATGAGTAGAGCTGAGTAGATCATTCTATCTTCCTCCTCTGTAGAATTCTTGAACTTGGTGATGAGAGTTTCATTAATCGTTCTAGATCTATTCAATCCAAAGAACATCCTCCTGGCGATGGTATCTAGTTGAGCGAATTTGCGATCGTCTACTTTGTAACTTCTGGACTTGGCATCGCTGATTAAATTAAAGTTGTCATCAATATCCTGGGACTTGAAAAAGGGGTCCATATTGTGTCCAGCAAATTTCTTGGCATTGAAGACCGGGAAATGAGTAGATTGGACTTTTGAAGATTTGGAACAGGCTGTATCCAAATTAGCTGGTACCGCTGCAATCGGATCAATAGGAGGTAAGGTGATATTGTCTACATCATCATCCTTCATCAGGTAAGTCTGAGTTGAATTCTCGTTCTTCGATGGGGAAGCAAGTTGTAACTCATTCACCATCCAGTATCTGATCTCAGCATCTGAGAAAATGATACCTTCTTCCTCTGATGTAGGGTCACATGTCGGAGTCCTAGATCTGTGGGAAGATCTATGAGAGGACTGTGGTGAACGTACTGACGAGTGGCTAGTGTAAGGAGACCTTGGAGGAGACATCCTCGGCGAATGCTGGGGACTTCGCGAAGCTCTTCTAAATCTTCTGGGCGAGGTAGATATGGAGCCACTTAGCCTTCGCGACCTTCGCGAATGTATCGAGTCAGTGTCCGAATCGACATATGAGCGCTTGCTTCGCGAACAACCTCTGTGTTCTACAGGGTGTGGGCTCGGCGAAGCGCTCCTTCTCCGCGATGTCCCTCGCAACTGGATAGGCTCTAGCTCCTTCGCGGAGGCGGCCTGGGACTTCCTTTGCGAAGTGATCGCTACGGGCTGGGTTGCCCTTCGCGGAGGCGCGTTTGTGGGCTCTGGGGCCCTACGCGAAGCCAAGGCGGGCTCTGGGGCCCTGTATGACTTATTAAGGGTTGGGCTCTGGGGCCCGTGGCTCTGGGGCCTCTGTAAACCGTAACGGTCCTCCATCAGTCTCATGATTTGGTTAACCAGGTCGTCTGGGATGGTCTGCGCTGGCGTTGAGGGTGGCCTCTCTGTGAAAGTGACGGGACCCTCAATCGTAAACTCAGGCGTCAGCGTAGGCATCTCTGGTTGCGTGTTTTCCGCGCTGTAGTGACGGTAGCAGATACTGGACGTTTCTTATGACGTACATCTGGAATGATAATCGGAATGTCATCATCATATAAACATAATTCTGAGACAGGTAGAATATCGGAGGAAAATTATTTATAGTTTTCGTAGATTTCCCTTTTGACGAAGCTGTGGACCTGGGGGTTCGAAGCGTACGTTGAGATGATGTGGACGCTTTCCTAGTCTTAGACTGAGAAGACGGAATGTCTTGAGACGCAGGTCGCTTCTTGGACATAGCGGACTGCGCCCCACGCTTATCCCCCGAGGGAAACTCCGGCATGCCACCAGCCGGTGGCGGGTCGTCAGTCAACAGTTGACAGGGTATAATAGCTTCCGATCTATTAGCCATGACTGAAGATTGTTTGCGAGATTTATCTGCCTTCCGTCTCAAAACGGAACATAAATATTTATCAGCAGCAATTGGTAAATTAATACATAATTTACAACGAGAAACAATAGAACATGGAGTAATGCAACTAGGGCATTTTAAATGTGGATCGGTAGCGAATAACGTGAGTTTACAACCTGTGCAGATTCTCATGAACGTAAACTGCTGAACAAACACGGCGAACCGTGAATAAAACAGCAGAAACACGACTAATAATCAATTCAAGTTGAATAAGGATACTAGTTACACCTCCATAACTGAATATAAGAGGTACTAAACTAAATATAAATAAAGGATATAGTGTGTTGGGAGACACAGACGCTCTCACGTCCAGCTCACTGGGCGAAGGAGGAGAGAGTGAGGCACATGGGTTCAGGTGGCGCCCTCGTTCCCGCGCTTGTGGAAGGGAGGTAACTCGTGGTGAGTACTAATTAGTGATTTTTTAATTGAAGGGAACTTCAATTGGGAGATACACTTGTTCCACTATGTTCGCAAGAAGAAGAAGACAAGCAATAAGCATGAGTCAGGATAAGGAAAAATTGTTAAAATTGATGCCAGAGCGGCACAACTTGATTCGTGAGGTTTAAGGACAACCATAAAATTTTGCTGACCTATAGTAAAGTTCCATCTTCTATTCTATTCTATTCTATTCGTGAACTAGCCTGAGCATTGAAAAAGTGTGAACATCAAAAGGATGACCAACCCAACTGGCAACAGTGTATTGTTTATAGACGTGTTCTGATTTGAATTACACTTTAGGACACCCTCTCTGATAGGTTGTCTCTAGACAAGTGATCATTTACTGCTTAGTTTCCACACTTGATATTCCCCTTCCCATGAATTATGACAGGCTAGCTGAGTGTGGGACTGACCGTGAGGAAGTCCAGCATACTGAGCAGACTGTGGATGCTGTCCCCAGTTGTCACCATCTTCACCAGGTGCTGGCTCCCATCCTGAAGAAAAAAGAAGCGGCATGATCAGATGAGACGTGAGTGGGTGACTCGGGTTTTAAGCCTCACTGACTGACTGATTTTGGTTTTTCGCCGCTTTTAGCAAATATTCCAGCAACATCACGGCAGGGGACACCAGAAATGGGCTTCACACATTGTACCCATGTGGGGATTCGAACCCGGGTCTTCGGCGTGACGAGCCAACGCTTTAACCATTAGACTACCCCACCGCCCCTTTAAAGCCTCACTGAACAATATTTCATATTTATATTGAAAAAGAGTGTATGGTGATGCCAGCTCTCTCAAGATGTTTATAGTAAATTTATACAAACCTGTAGAGGTTATGAATTCTTTGAAGAAAGTCCTCCTTGGGGTACATATAAGCATTAAAATGTCCATTTTAAATCCTACGACAGTTGTAACTATATTTTTAATAAAATATTTACAAAACAAAAAACTCGTTTTGTCTTGTGAGACCACCCCTACAGGGCCCCACCGGACCAACACAGCCAAGAGCAGGTAACTCTCGCCGTCTACCTCGTACCTCACTTTTCATGCTGAACGTGTCAGACAGAATGAGGGGAGGCGGGGCCATTAGACTTGTTGGAGGACTTTCTTCAAAGAATTCATAACCTCTACAGGTTTGTATAATTCTTTTCAGAAGAAGTCCTCCTTGGGGTACATATAAGCATATGACAGACTCCCAAAGATATTTGAGACGGGAGTGGCATTCTGTCTGGCAACAACTAAACCCGTGGTGGAGTGAAATCTACAACCGATACGAAATAGAAAACACTTGGCCACCTGACCGCTGATGTCAATCAGACGGGCGGGAACTAGAGAGCCCAATGTCAATTGGCTCAATATCAATGACATAAAACCCCCCCAACCATTACAATGGAAGGAATGTATGGGGACATGTCGAACAACTCCCAACCCTAATATAGCCCCAGCCAGACAATCGTGGGCTTAGAGGTATAAGGGTAGGGAAAGCGAAAAAATTTAAACGCTTACAAAGCCAATAACCCATGAGTCGAAGCTAATAAGTACTGCAACCATCGTTCTAATGCAGCCCCTGTTTGAAGAGGGCTTGCCGACCTCGATAAAACCCAGAGAAATTATTAGCCCTCGCTAAAACTTTCTGAGGAAATCGAACGAGTACAAACGCCATGCATTGTAATGAAGTGAAAAACACCCCACCAAACACTCTCGGCGGAGGAGGGTAAGTGTAGGCCACCATCCCACAAAGCTGATTAACACAGACTCCCAAATACGAAGGCTCGAAGAGGGAAAACTGTAAGCCGCACAAAAATCCCCTGAACAGCTTAAAAGCGTGAGTCAACATATGTTGGCTCACCATTACACTAACCTGGTCAACGGACATGCGTACCGAAGAGAGGCATACCAAACAGTGCCCCCGTGGGGGTTCGCGCACCCAATCGCCGCAAGACGCGGAGTTAATAGCATATGACTGGTTAAAGCGCTCAAAACGGACCTCGCCTCTTGAAGGGACGTAAGGGACGTATGTACACCCAAACCCGACCCAACCCGAAAGGATGGTAAGGCTAATAATGATGTAGTGATATGAAATATATCGACATTGAACACAGAACTGATACCAATGACCAGTTACTAACTTGGTCAGGGTGGCAGGTCACTTCCACTGGAGAGAACCGAAGAGACCGAACCGAGCACGCCATCCTTAGAATGCGTGTCAAGTTAGTAATGGCGAATGAAGCGTTCTGCTGGCTCCAAAGAGCTACAGAACCGATCTCTTCATTGAGCAGTGCCGCTGTGTATTGTCAACAAAGCGGCATCTGCCCTACCCAGTCTGCCTTCAACCCCTCGGGGAGGTAAACCGTATCATTGTAACCATACAATTACGGAAACAAGCCAACGAGATAAAGTGCGCTTTGCTAGCAGACTCCCCAGTCTTCCCGCCACCAAACAGCACACATGGGTACCCGTGACGGATCCCTTTTGTTCGCTCCTTCATGACAGGCATGGGTGAGCAATCGAAGATTGGTCCCCGTGCGAAGGCTGGGTAAGTGGAAGTGCGATATGAGCAGTCACGTGGGAAAGCAATATCGCGCACTGAGAGTGGTAGGTATCCGAAGTCGAATACGGACATGATCAGTATAAAATACTGTCAGTGTCAGGTCAGTGGGAATCACATTGATGTACCCGACCCTTCTACCAGAGTTCACCACAACAATTAAAGTCGTCTTCCACGTCAACAAGTGAAGTGAGAGAGACGATATACTTGAAAAAATTAGGGCCAGACAGCCAATTGTGAATAAGTGGCAATTTTAAGGTGGGCTGGTCACCGACGAGGCAGTCGAACCCTGTTCATGCCAGCTACGACGCGATGTACGAGGATGCTGCCTAGGCAGAGCACCATCGAATCGAGGTGTGAAACGTGGAAATAGCCATGGAGTACCCGGCAATGGTGGAGGTCATAAGGCTCTCAACCAAAGCGAGGTTATAGTAACTCCAATATCCGAACTAAGTCCGCAGAATAGGGATTATGAAATCCCCTATCTGCACACCAGCCAGCCGCCCCACCTATCAACACACTGAGCGAGGTGTCGAATCCCAGGCAGAATTGTGTCTGCAACGGTTGCAGGAATTCCGTGTGTTATACCCGACAGAGGCCAAGCCACCAAGTGAATCCGAGGATTCGGGTGTGGCGCCCCGTGCAGAGTGAGAATGTCTGGCCGAAGAGGTAATTCAAATCCCGGCGTGCGGGATCGAACACCAACCTGACTGCTGTCAATTCCAGCACATTGATGTGCAGGTTGTGACTTCGTCTCAAGAGGCTGCAGGTCACCCAGAACATCGCCCTAACCCGGTAGGGATGTATCTGGCTGGACTGAGAGCGGCGGTGTCTCCAGGGGTGGGGACCCTCAGAGAGACGCCTGACGTCTGTCCATCTGACTGCGTGAGGTTGCCTATGTACTGGTGACAACACCGGCACTGCGATCTGGCTATCTGAGCTGTAATAAACCTCAATTTGGTGAACACCCTTGGCACCGTAATGTAGCCTAAGGAGAGTACACGAAACTGGTAGCACGTCCCGTCAAACAAGAAACCGAAGGTAAACCTTGAAATCAGGGTGCAATGGAACAAGGAGGTACGCGACCTCGAGGTCGATTGACGTGCGCCAATCCCCTGTCTCGGCAGATGAGATCACCGAGCGCGGTGTCTCCATCTTGAAGGACAGTACCTTTATAAACTTGTTCAGCTCTCAGATGAGAATGGGTCTGAACATTCCGTTCGTAATGGCAACTATGAAATAAGTGGAGTCAAACCCCACATATTCCTGACCATTGAAACCACCACACTGGTTGCCTAGCCCAGCAAAGACTGGATCTGGGCACGGAGTATTATCGCCGCGTCTCGGGAAGCCGACACAGGAGTGTGTCGCTCCGCCCGTGTTCGCGGCAGAATATAAGTAACCCCAGCAGTCGGCAACTTAACGCTTGTCGATGCCTGGGCACCTGAGGAAGTAACGAAGCTCAACAGACTTCCGTATTCCTCGAAACTGTCCCGGGCGTATATGCCCATAACCGCCCTCATCATTTGACTGGCACAGCTACAATGCAGTCCCTAGCCAGATGAGAGTTGCCCCCGTCAGATGCCGCCCAGAGTCGCCGACGAAGAAAAAAAATTCCACCGGCGCTCTCTCCCCTTTCCACCAGCTCCCTCATCAGCGCTGAGAGATGCGCCGAGTGGAGCATACAGCGTTGAGCTGTGAAGGGGAAAGAACGGCAGACTTAAGGGAGAGTGTGAGGCCTTGTCCCGGATGCCGTGCCGGGTAGTCGACATGGACAACACCTGAGGCAACACAGCCGCGATTCTATCTCGCACTTGCCCTCAGGGACGAACCTACTTAGTGGTAAGTTCAAAGTAGCGAAATGAGCCGAAGCTCAAATCGACTTGTCCACTGTACGAGCCTGAACCCCGATTCCGAGGCACATGTGAGAAGCCTGACAATCAAGGTTTCACAAGCACTCAGACAGACCTCGGAGCGGCGAGGTGACAGTCACACCGGCACACTCGATGGCATCTAGGTCAATACGCCGATAGACATCAGGCGAGACCTGAACTACCGGCGCGAGACCTGAACTACCGAGTCGGGAATCTGCGCCTACCAGTGCCGAAGCCTGGGTCGGCTACCCACGGGTTCAGAGAATCCGCGAGAGCCGGTTAAGCTCAGCTGTTCTAGAGCCGAACCCCGATCCCGGTGCGAGGGAGTAGCCTGATAAATCAGGTTTCCCCAAGTACTCTCAAAAGCGCACTGAGCGTATAGTCAAACATAGCCTATAACGCTATATAAATACCCATACATACACATGTATGTAAGTGCTTTCGGTCGGCGGTTCGAGTTCGAACCCCGATCCCCAACACATGGGAGTGGCCTGACAATGCAGGGCTCCCTGGTGTACACCGGGTAGACCTTTGGCGCCGAGGTGATCGGGCAGCTCGTCACACTCAACGGCCTCTTGGCCAGGGCATCGATAGACATCAGGCCGAGACCTGAGCTAACAGCGCCGGGGATCTGCTCGCATGCGGGGCGAAGCCCAGGTCGGTGCTAGTCCGATCTGCAGTCCCGAGACACAAGGGAGTAGCCTGGCAATGCAGGTTGCCCCTGGTGGACACAGGTAGACCTAGGGAGTGCCGAGGTGATCGGCAGCTCAGTGGAACCCAGACCGGGCGCCGAGGGAACCTGCCGATATACAGGTTTCCGGGCAACCCGACTGACCAAGTGGCGCCGAGGTGTCCCCGAGCTGCTGGTCGGCGCCTGAAGCCGCCAGTCAGGGCACCAGGGCAAAACCTGCAGGGCAAAACCTGCAGGGCGAAACCTGCATCGCCGGCGCCAGGCCCGTGATCGAACCTGAGCCCGAAGCTAGGTCGCCATTGAAGGTGCCGAGGTGTCCCCGAGCTGGTCTGCCCTGGGCGACCGCCAGTCAGGGCACCAGGCGAAGACAGGGCAAAACCTGCATCGCCGGGCGCCAGGCTAGCGGATCGAACCTGAGCCCGCTTAGGTCGCCACAAGGTGCCAAAGGCACACCATCACCTGAGCGAAGCCAGGATCAAGCTGCCTGGGAGGCTGGCGTTCTCCGAGCCAGAGCTCGGGCGCCAAACCCCCAGATGCGTCCGATCCACCCCGGCGACAGAAGCGTGCTGAGCTCCTTGCGGAACCCAGACAGCACCGTGTCAATGCGGGCGGAATTTCACCACAGACGACACCTGGTGAACTTACCTTCGAGATCAACACTTTATGCGAGCCGAAGCTCTTACGGAGCCGGACATCGCGCTATCAATCATCGAATTGACATTATGTTGAAGAATATGTTGCTGCAATAGTGAAGTCATATTTAAGTCAGCAACATTGTTTGCGGGGGAAACGATAAAGGGATTTCCTTAGAAACCTTTTATCAAATATTATCCCCCGCCTGAAGCAGATTAGTGAAAAACATAAAATCTGCGTGTCGGAAAGAATGCGCGTGAGGCGCAGAAACCCAGACAAAAACCACAACCTCGGCCTCTGAGCCACATTGTGTGTAAACGTATGAAATATGTATCATAATACAACATAATGTAACAGGAATATTGGCCTTAAGGGCGTTTATTATGAGCATCCTTGATCGTCGTGGAGCGTCCTCGGCTAAACACGGAGGCACTTTATAACCATCCTGTGGCGGTAGTGTGCATGGCACAAACGCACAGGGCTTAAACTGCAACAAACAGAACCACGCCAGTGTTACTAGCAGGAACTGTGAAGTAGCAAACACATAAACACAAGTAATAGCAAGAATAATCCGCGACGGGCGATATATAAATGCTACAAGCTACAGCCATTTAAATACTAAACATACAATGCAAAGCAGAAAAAAGGCTAGCCACCCCTGCGTGTACTAGTGATAGAGTAAAGTTGAGTGATACGAAACGAACACTATCAAAATTACTCAACAACGACTTACCACAAATTCGCTGAAAAGAAAGAGAATTTAGGCAAGCCTACCTTATAATATGCAAACATAATATATGAACTCCCTACTACAAGCTACCAATAACATATAGCAAGGAAACCACGCGATCGCTGGGTCCGGCCATTTTGCCTGCCACATGGCTGGAAAACAGAGAACCCACGGCAAAGTTACAACTAAAGATGAATGAAAATATCCACATATGACGTCCATCGAACGCCCGTGCGTAGAGAAAGGAACCATACATACAGATTGAGACTCTTTTACACTCATCGTATCGGTAGGAGAGCAAACTCGAAACGAACACCACGCACGTCTATTCAACAGAACGACAGCATGAAAAGTGAGGTACGAGGTAGACGGCGAGAGTTACCTGCTCTTGGCTGTGTTGGTCCGGTGGGGCCCTGTAGGGGTGGTCTCACAAGACAAAACGAGTTTTTTGTTTTGTAAATATTTTATTAAAAATATAGTTACAACTGTCGTAGGATTTAAAATGGACATTTTAATGCTTATATGTACCCCAAGGAGGACTTCTTCTGAAAAAGAATGCATGTGATTCTGTGCCAATTGATTTGTTAACCAAGCAAAACTATTCAATATGACTTTGGCTGTTTCCTGCCTGAATGACCACAGATTGGGCAGGGAGTTAACAGATGAGGTACTAAGTCTTGTACATACCTTCTCAGTGACAAACACTTCGATCTGGCCACTCTGCACCACATATATACTATCATCCTGATCTCCAATCTTGAACAAGTAATTGCCTGTCTTGATATTGAGGGGTTCCATGTGTCGGCACAGCTCCAAGAAGAAGGGCTTTTCCAGGTGACCAAATACTCTGAAACATTACACAGCATCTCTCTGCCTGTCAGGATTTCATAGCAAGAGTGTCATTGAATATAGATACACAAAGATCAAAATAGTTGATGAGAAATGTTGGTTTCTATAGTGCTAGCCCACTCAGACATCACACCACAGGTTATCCAGATGCTTTAATGACATACAGTATACTGACTCCAAGTCATGGAAACCTAAGAAATGTTCCTAAAACAAACGGTGGCATTTGAAGACTTGACATTTTCAAAGTTTGTTCAAGAAATATGGACCAGTCTTAGATAATACTTAAAAAACAAACACTATCCACCCTCTAACCTAAGTACAATTTCCTATTGCAACCAAAACAAACTCAGAAGTCAAGAAAGTTTGGTCAAGAAATACTGAACAGTCTTTGTGCTGTTGGTTCTTGTTTCTTTGTCCTTTAATGCCATATTGGACAATAATCCAGCTATGTAACAGCTGTCTGTAAACAATCACGTCTGCACCACATAATGAAGTGATTGACAACATAAGCATTGATCCGTGCATGTTGGATATGATGACTTACCAGTCAACACAATCCCATCAAGTGACAGGTGGAAAGATGGACACCACCCATTCTATGCTAAAAAGGCACAGGGTAGCTGACAAAAATATTTTGCACAGCTTGCGTCTAGTGACTTGGTATCGTAACATCCATCCAAATCCCTTAGAATTCAAAGAGTATTTCGTACCTGATGCTTCTCAGCATATAGAGGACTTCTGACGGCAGTCTGTTGTCTATCTCCTGAACATCTGGTGTATCTGCTTCAAAGAATGATTTCGGCGGTTCCTTTAAGCGTAGCTGTGGTAGACTTGAATCTTTCCTTCTCTCTAAAAATCTGAAATGGGAATATTCATGACAGTCAATTACTCATCCCAGTTATCAAATCCAATTATCAAAAGCATGATCATCAATCTACACAACTGCAATATGATGACATGTGTCAACCAAGTCGGCGAGCCTGACCACCTGATCCTGTTAGTCACCTCTTATAGTCAACCGTATGGCATAATGCAACGTTAGAATCTCATAGTCTTCAATAAAACTTATATTTCTAGGTAAATATGATGCATACCAGCATGTTTAGTCACGTAAACCACAAAAAAAAAGAGACGTTAGTTGCCGTGTTGCGATTGATGTGCTTAGGTGCACGGAATTACCGGTCGTCATTGTAATTCTAACCCGGATCTTCACGGGTATCAACATGCTCCATACATGAATTACAACTGATGGTTACTGACAAGGTTAGTAAGCCATGTATCTGAAAACAATATCCCAACAAAAATCTGAAATTAAAAACACACATACAAGGATTTATCCAAGAATAAACACAACAGCCATTGACTCGAACATTGGGAACAATTGTTATTTTGTTCCAAATTGGGATTGTTTCACAGTTCATATTTTCCTATGACGCTCCTAAGGTAGCCAAATGCCTCGTCATCAAATTAGTGATGCACATGAATCAAAATCTCTGCGTCTACATCGGTGCTGTTATCAAGTGCAATAACAGAATTTAGAAATGTCTAATCCCAATCTGGCAATATAAGTCACACTTTTAGCTAATACAGTATCACTCTTCTAAGTAGCATGGCTAATCGCGACACCCCCTACCTGCGCAGTCTGTTCACCATGTCCTTCTGGCTCATCTTCTTTCGACCATGACGACTCACAGCTATTGTGCTCTTCGTGAAACTTCGAACCTGGGAATATGATGATTCATTACTTAGAAGACTTCAAATTTAAAGAATGGCGGTCCTTCTACAGCAATTGAATCTGGAGCCCCCTAAATCTTCATATTAACTGATAGCTTGATGACAAGCTCAACTTTGAGCGATGTTTGGCATTTACCTTTACAGCAAGTTTTTGACATGCATTGCCAGTATTTCCTCATTGTCCAAGAAGTTTGACTTGTCACGTAACATGTTTATGTTTGTCTACAATCACCCATTGCCAGAGTATACTGGTCTAGTGCGAACTATTCATGTCAAAATGGACTTTATAAGAAAGAGATCAATATCGGTTATGTTAGAATGTAAGTGTCATTGACAAGATCCTAACAAAGACAATGGCCATGTATGTATTTTGTGTATATTTTGTCTTTACTAACAGCAGCATGATAAGTCAAGTTATTACTGCAGGGTTTTCTTTTCAAATGAAAGATTGAGAACCCACAGCCAGCCCAACACTGTCAACAACATCCCCCCAAAAAAAAACACACCAAACACACACATGTACACCATACACACTCCCACAAGAAGCTTTCAGACAAGAACATTATTTGTTCAATATGTCAACAGTAATTCAGATCCAAAGCCACCTGCTGCAAATGAGGCCTTCATATCATGTTTATGTTTCCATCCTCCAATTTCACTGTGTTCATTGTTTACCACTACTAATTGCTCCTATCACAACAAATTGGTCATATTAATATCCTCATCGCTCCAGTCCATGTCAACCTGATGGGCTAATAGTTGCCTACAACAAATCAATATTGTATAAAGCCTTTTATTCACTCTGTCTACAAGCAATGTGGCCTAAAATGCAATGCTGGTGGTCTAAAAACATCAAACAATAATTTTCAGCTTTCAGAGTAGTATTGCTACTTATGAATGTAAAACAAACTCAAGATCACACTACCACAGCAGAATGACTGCAGAATGACACTTGAAGGCAATTGATTGGATTTTTCTTCCATAAGATTACAGATGTTTGTACATATTATTTAGCACTTCTTATGAAGAGCAGTAACATAACAAGGTACCATGTCACCTACAGTAAGACAGGAAACACTTTCCAAGATATTTATTCCCCCATAAGTGTGTGTTTTTCATTTGTTTGTCTGTCATTCTCATAAACCAACTAAAACCCACACAGATGTAACATATGACCTAATAGTCACCAGGGGCGGTAAGGTAGCCGAAGACCCAGGTTTGATTCCCCACATGGGAACAATGTGTGAAGCCCATTTCTGGTGTCCACAGCTGTGATATTGCTGGAATCTGGCTAAAAGCAGAGTAAAACTAAACTCACTCACTCACCCATTAGTCACCATGTTCACTGTGAAACACTTACTTTCCGTAACATCTTTCTGCCATAAAACAGCATCTTGTCTCGTTTCCTGAAGCGATACTTTTTTGTTTGCCTCACTTTGACTGGGCAACACTGGAAGAACAAACACACTGTTAGTGAGCATAGACACCAGCTTACATTGCAGAGGTTAGATGAAACTGATTCAATTTGGCATTAAACATGTTAAAAGTTACTGCACTTATATCATAACATGCATGCATGCACATGTGTGTTGGGGAGTGGTGTGTGGTGTTTGGGGGATTCGCCTTTTTTAAGAGGGACTTATGTTAATGTTTCACAGTGCTTGCCTTGAAGATACCATGCTGCAGTTTAATATGGCCACAAACCACTGACCTGTCAGCATGCAAAATGTCTACCATGTTGCTGTAGTGTTACAATGGAGGGACAGCTATAGATGCCCAGCATGCTCTTACCTTTTGTTCTGAACTTCCATATTCCAAAGAAGAGGACAACCAGGATGGTAATGGTGGCAACAACAAACGTGATCATGATGCTCTGTAATAGAAAACATTGGAGTGAGAGACTATTATATTTTCTAGGCCAGGACTCATCCACACCAAATTAATGGGCAATTACTATTTCACTTGTAGCACAGGTGGACAGGTGAATGGTCAACAACATGTAGTGGTCGACAAAATGTAGTGGAGACTGTATGCTTGTTACTTGTTTAATGTCACATTTAAGAACATTACAGCTATGATAGTTGTCTGGACCAGACGATCCAGTGATTCATATAATGTGCAATGATGACACTGCTGCACCTTGAGCATGCACTAGTGCGTGGATATGTGTGCTATATAAATATCGAATAATAAAAATAATAATAATACGACACACAAATAACCTGGTTACCAGGCCCGACTACCAGCCTACCAGCCCCCACGACCAGGCCCGACGTGACCAGCCGACGACCAGCCCGGCGACTACCCCCGACTTTGACCAGCCCCGGCGACTACCCGACCCCCGGCGACTACCAGCCCAGCCCGACTACCAGGCCCGACTACCAGCCCCGACTACCAGGCCCTACTACCCGACTTTAATTAGCCCGCCAGCCCGACTAGCCCTCACCAGGCCTGACTACCAGCCCGACGACCAGCCCGACTACCAGCCCGGAGGCCCGACTACCAGCCCCGACTACCAGGCCCGACTACCAGGCCCGACTACCAGCCCCGACTACCAGCCCGACTACCAGCCCCGACTACCAGCCCCGACTACCAGCCCCGACTACCAGCCCGACTACCAGCCCCAGACTACCAGCCCGACTACCAGCCCGACTACCAGGCTGACGACTACCAGCCCCACTACTGACCAGCCCGACTACCAGCCTCGACGACCAGCCCCGACTACCAGCCCGACTACCAGCCCCGACTACCAGCCCGACTACCAGCCCGGCGATACCAGCTCCCGACTACCAGCCCGACTACCAGCCCGACTACCAGCCCCGACCACCAGCCCTCACTCCGACTACCAGCCCGACGACCAGCCCGACTACCAGCCCGACTACCAGCCCCGACTACCAGCCCCGACTACCAGCCCCGACTACCCAGGCTACCCGACTACCAGCCCGACTACCAGCCCGACTACCAGCCCCGACTACTAGTTTCGACTACCAGCCCTCCAGGACTACCAGGCCCGACTACCAGGCCCTACCAGCCCGACTACCAGCCCCGACTACCAGCCCCGACTACCAGCCCCGACTACCCAGTCACTTCTTCACACCAACAAAGGTATTCAGGATTGAAACAGCACTTAATTTGCCGGCCATGGCCAGGAAAATACTGAAATGAAACAGATGAGATATCTTCACTGTGCCCTAGTGGCAAGATTAAAATGATAATAATACTCACCATTTATTTAATGGAAACTGCGATATAATTTGACCAACTCAAATGATTCAAAACCTATTTGTGCATCCCATGTTCATCAATTGCACTTTCAGTCTCACACCTCAGCATGGGCGTGATCATTTGAATGCAGTGTGCATAATAGAAAATCCTGTTTTCGATGATAACACAGTTTGTGGGTTCGGTTATGGGTCAAAGACAATATGAAGCTGAAATATTCTTACAGTCATGATAATGTTCAAGAAATCCAACTCTTAAGTTTACAGGTTTACATGATGCTACTGGTTTATTAAACAATAAACTGACACAGCATAATTGTTGTGATGTAAGTTGAATTAAAAGGTATGGGCACACTAACAGGGCCACCTAAATCATCTGTCTGGTGCCCAGTGGCACCCTTCAGAAAAAACACATTTCTATCCCTGGTACTGTATTTCAGAATAAATGTAGCTAATACAAAAGTGAATGCCGAAAAAGACAACACACCACATTCTAGGCAAACAGACATGTGAGCAAAACAATAGAACATAATTGTATGTCTAATTCCACTAAAAAACAACAGCGATAGAACATATACCAAAATTTGTAACACGTGCACAAATATGACTATGAACATCAGGGGTTTAATTTTTTTTTTAAAAGCCGCTTGCCACAGGGCAAGTGACTTTAAGAAAGTAACTTGTCCTGACTAATTTTCCACTTGCCCTGATTTTATGACATAATTATGATGACTGACTGACTGAGTTTGGTTTTACGCTGCTTTTAGCCAGAAATGGGCTTCACACATTGTACCCATGTGGGGATTCGAACCCGGGTCTTCAGCGTGACGAGCCACCGCCCCACATAATTATGATGATGTAATTATGAAAGAATAATATCAAAATGGTATTTGATGTTAATGTTTACTGGACTATTTATTGAAAAGTGATAAATAGCAAAGAAAGATAACTCTACTTTATTATCATTGCGAAATTTAATAGCTACATTTTGAGCAGATATGAAATTAAATCCAAGTTTATTTGCAGTTTGAAACCATAAGTGGAAATTATCTAGTAGCCCACGGACAAGTAAGACACCATTATTTGATTGCCCGAAATGAAAACTGACTTGTCCCTGGCGTCAGGCGATGGGATTGAAGCTCTTGTACAAAACTGTGGCATCGATTGATAGGAACAATAACATGAAGTTTCAGTTTCTTTAGACAAGCTGCTAAAAGACAGACAGACATGGTACATCCTGGCCATGACAATCAGTCAGGTGAGTTAAAGATAATAACACCATGCTTCAGGTAGTACAAGTAAACAGGTAAACAAAGGTTAAATGAAACCAGCAAACTTGAATCAAATGGTTGGAAAAACATGTTTCCAAAGTGAAAGCCAAACAAGCATCCCCCCATTCTCCTCAGCATTTAGAGAATAACAAACAGACCATGTACACAATGCATGAGGAAACATGTTCAACACATGGCCCAAGAGGGGCTGTATGACTATAACCCAACTTTTAGCACTTGAACTTCAGATACCACAATATACCAAAACGATAATTGTTTTCCAGGCCAAACTCATCTGCCATGACACAATGTCCGACATAGGTCCTCTCAGTGAGTGAGTGAGTTTAGTGTTACGCTTCACTCAGCATTATTCCATCTATATGGCAGTTGGCTGGACCAAACAATCCTGTGAATAACATCATGAGCATCTATCTACACAATTGGGATACGATGGCATGTGTCATCCAAGTCAGCGAGCCTGACCACCCGGCCCTGTTAGTGTTAGTCGCCTCTTACGACAAGCATGTGTTACTGAAGATGAATTCTAACCTGGATCTTCACGGGTCTAAGGTACTCTCATGTTGCAGTACCATGTAAATGTCAGTAGCCAGGAATGGTAGTTATTTAAGACCATGCCATGTCTCACACCTGTTACTAAGCATGTACAATATATTTGTATTTTGTAGACAATTTTATAAGAAAGTGTTTCAAATTAATCTTCGAAACAAATTACTCAACAAGTACTTACAGTGTTGATCTACTTCACTTGCAGGAAATGTACAGTCCTCACATGCCTGGGCAATGGAGTTTGCTGCTAGAGCTATAACATTCTTTTCAAAACCCACCAAATGAGAAAACCATTAAACAAATTCTAACCACAATTTATATTTACACAGACTCTCAATTCTTAGTTTCTGACAAACACATTGATAATGTATCTTTGTCTGTGCCACGCTTCCTTGTAATTACTGCAACATGCCAGATGTTTCCTGTAGATTGTCTTCCCGAACATTCTTACACCCAATTATAAACTGAAACATGCACAAGTTGTCAACTGCTAGTAGTTCTTGTAAATTTCATCAATCAAATGTAATCATTAACTCTTGCCATGACAACGTTGGTTTTGAACAAATATTCCTGGATCAATCAGATTAATAAGCTGTTCCTACATAAGCTACTTAACATGCTCAACAAGCTTATGCCGGAAAGTCTCCAAATCATCATCATCATCATCATCATCATCATCAACAAGCTTAGAGCTGAGACAGATCAGGTTACTGAGCTTGGATATGTTGTTAAGTTTCTAAATTTTATTTCTACAACATTTGAATCTTTGAACTAGCAAAAACTAAAATTATCCATAATTAACATTGACGGGAAGAAATATGAATGATAATCATTATGAAAGTTGTGGCATACACACACACTATTTTTATTAGTATTTATTATAATTATTATTTTATAAGTAAGTAAAGTTTTCATGTGCCAAAACGGAGATGTTATTGTCAGTTGTCGAAGACAAATGTCTACAAAGTTATTAATGCAAATGTGTGTCAACAGTAACTAATGACAACAAATATGCTGAAATATCTATTTCTATACTCCAAACCATGTTATTGTATGTAGAATACACATAATTTTAGATCAATAATGATCACACATATTCAGGAAACATCCTTGTGTGATGGTAAACTGATGAATACATTAGTAAATGTGGTAACCATGGCAACACTGCATCAAGTGCAGAAAGAAATAACCATGGTAACATAAGCATGGCTAGTTACCAATACCACTGTATAACCTGAGAGGGGGAACCAGTTTGGGATAATTACTTACAACTGCTTATGTACTGTGTAGTGATAAATAAACTTGTACCGCAATACATTCCAATACAGGTGGCACTTTGTAAATATTCAAATATGGACCAGACAAACCAATGGATGATATCATGAGCAACATTTACAGCATCATCTAATTGGACCCACAAACATGGGGGTCCCCTGGGACACCTAAATATTAGTTTTAAGGGTCCTTGCAGGCATTACGAGGGTCCTCTGTTGTAACGGTGTAGAGAACTGTATCTTTTGACAATATCCTTAGAGCCTGGAATGAATCATGATCATGTGGACTGATGGATGAAATGATGCATGTAACTGCTCTGAAAGAAACAACCAAACACTTAGCAGAGTCATAGATGTGTTGTGGGTACAATGAATAATATTGTGCAACCCATGGACACAGTGAATTTTTGTCTGCATCCATTCTCTACATTTGTGCATGCTGGACACACATTTGCAAATGTTGTAAAGCCCTGATTGACATTCTATCGGACAGAATCTAACCAAACATTCCATTAAGCTGCCAGTTATAATAAGCACATGTTGTTGGATCTATCTTAAACTAGCCCCTGGGGTATATATACAATCTCAGATGTCCTCTCAATCTAGTTGGATGTTGGGGTATGTCTGCATGCTGTCAACCAAATCACTTGATAAGTAACTCAACCTCTTACATCAGAGGGGGCGGTGGGGTAGCCTAATGGTTAAAGCGTTGGCTCGTCACGCCGAAGACCCGGGTTCAAATCCCCACATGGGCCCAATGTGTGAAGCCCATTTCTGGTGTCCCCCGCCGTGATTTTGCTGGAATATTGCTAAAAGCGGCGTAAAACCAAACTCAGTCAGTCAGTCTTACATCAGACATAGGTGTTTTGAGAGCCATTCTAACCCAGAATAAAACCTGTAATAATTAGCAGTAGATGGGTGGGTGTTGCAAAGTAAACCAAAACACAGAAGAATCACTTTATGTACTGGAATATAAACAAACAAAGATTTCTTACTTGACTTTTAAGACTCTGATAGCTGATGAAATCAAACAACTGAAACATCAGTATATTGTAGTGATTGCAGTGAGTTTTCATTCCATTACATTGTTTAGCAAGCAACGATATTATTGATATTATTGCCCAGTGTTCATTTATCATGCCAGTGGCTCTAGTCTACTCATAAGCATATGATGGCATATGTGGAAGTGGGATTCCATGTTATGATTCACCTTGTTGTAACATGTATGTCTCCACATTAGAGTCATATTGATACACCCAAATAACTTTCACCATCATATTTGAACCACTTCAATCAGACATGAAGAAAGATCGCAGAGACCGATATCTAGATTGTATTATTCAAAACGACCAAGCTGACATCCCTAGAGAAAATTTAGCAGCCTGCAACATTTTGTTCTAAAGTACACACCACCATTGTGATGCAAGGAAGCTGCAGAGAAGGGAAGTCAAAGCACTGAGGCTCAGTGGACAATATATTACAGTATGTGATAATATACAATTATAGACTGGTGATGAAGTCAATACATGTTTTTATGGACCCGGAAAAGCAATATTGACTTCGTCCTCGGTCAATATTGCTTTTCGCGGGTCCATAAAAACAGGTATTGACCAAATTCACCAGTCCATGATTGTTTTATTATGTAATTATTATATATATATTATATAATTTAATTATGTAAAAAGCTTCTAAAAGCCAAAACATGTCCATTTAGTTAAGAAAAGTAATTTTATTTTCGCTACAAACCAATAACGTTATGTCAACAATACTGTGACATGTAAACAATAGAATGACGCCATAGCTTGACGTCAAAATCTATTTTTAGTAACTCAAGTCAATATGACTTTTGGTAGGACCTGGGTTGGAGTCAATATGCTTTTCTGTCGACGGTCACATGACCGCCTCTAGACCAATCAGGTATCTGGAAAAATATGCTTACATGATAAAGTAGCATCCAAACTCAAGCCATGTTGATATTTCCGAGTTTCAAAGTAAACTCTTCACTGCCTGTTTGTCTAGTTTTCCCACACTTACTATAGAGTAAACTATGCCAGTGAAGTACCAATTCAAATACCTAATCCCCAGCACTCAAAGTGAGTCAGATCTGAATGGATTTGATTCCTGAAGTTGTGTGCTGGTGACTATATGCCTGACTCTGAGAGTGTGGATTCAAATCCCAGATGGGACTACATCCAAAATAACTACAAGCATCTGTACTTTACTGAGAAAGTGTAATCCCAAATATAACATATGTTATCTATGATGTATGGAGATCCATGAGCACCATACATATCTCTGGCTAATCTGTGAATCCTCACACATTGTATACATGTACGCCCTGTGATTTCCACTCAAGGTACATCAATCCATTCACACATACCTCACAAAAGAAGCTGCACATCATGAAGTCAGGTACGTGACCCTCTCCACTCTGGATTATTGTAATGGGTTCATCACATCAACGAATCCCACTCACAAAACTTCAGAAAAGTCAGAAGTCAGCAGTGCATGTGTTAGACAAATGGTATGACAGCATCAACTGCATCAGTTATGTCATTACACTGGCTACCCAGCCAAGCAACGATTCAGTATACAAAATATTGACCATCACCTACACATGTGTTAACAGCATGACCCAATCATTTCATACAGATCTCATCACATCCTATGATCATCTAACAACATCCACTAATAGTAATAACAGCTCAAAATCTTGTTCATACTCTGCAGATCTGTCACTGAATCTTAAGACATCACCTTCACTGTTTGCATTCAAATGTGGACAAAAGACATACCTCCTCAAAGTTTCTTACTATGAATAATATGTACATTCCCTGAGTTTAACTTTTATCCTTCCATATCATTTAGAACTATGAACAAATACTTGGATTGAAATTGGTTGTGCACAAATGGAACCATCATCATCAAGATCCCCATTTTTATCATTCAGCATGCTTAATGAAGTAAGAATAAGATTATTATATGAAATTGCCAAACTGGGCTGATAGGGTACAGAGATGTCTACCCTAACCAAAACCAAAATGGTGTCCACTACTACAAAACTGTTGACAATTCCATACTCCTCCAAATGAAATCGGTTCATGTTGTAGTTCTGTTTTGCCATGTTGATAACGAGTTCAAAAGGTGCATAAGTAAATACAGCATGTGTATGCTCCCTGAATGCATGACTGTTGTGATAATGAAAATCTCATATAAATTCAGAGATATATTTCGGAGAATATGAACTGCCATGCTGGATTTCAAAGCAGTTTGCCTTGTATGTGCAATGATTAAGTTTAGCCATCAAGGAATGGTATTCCAGAGTACCTTCTAGTATTTTATATAGTACTAAGATTTTGCACCAAATTTCTATAAACTGAAAAGCGTCTGCATTACATAGCCCTATGTATCAGTGTTACCACCTTCAACAAGATGGCTCTTGTAAAAACTAACAAATTAGACTCCATAAGAAATGTTTGTAAAATTGGGAGGATATGGTTTTATGTTGGACACTGCTGACAAATGAACGATACAATGAACCACGCAACACAAGCAAACAAAATTGTTTCACAATACTGACATTGCACACGTGAAGTTTCAAATCAATGCATGTCGGCTTTTTTCCAGGGCCAGGGGACTGCATTTTATTCAGATTTCTCCTTTTTAAACAGTTCAATAAAGTTGTCAGTGCCATTTCGGGAAAACACCAATGCCTAAAATACATCTACTTCATTCAGTGTAATGTAATTAGCCGACTGTCACAAAAATATGTTTTGATTTGACAGTTAGTTGTTTCGTAATTTGACAAGACGTTGTCAGTTTGCATGTGTTGCGTGTTTCCTTGTTTACAACAAAAAAACTGCGTTAGATATAATGTAACAAAAATAAATACCATGGTTAGTTCGAATTCTGAGAGATGTTTCAAGCCTTGATTAATCTGAGGACCTAAGTCCATAACTGTTTACGTTTTGTCTATAAACTTCGTCATGGGGTCAAAGTTTCGTTGTCTGCTGAACCATTTTGGTACGAGGATATCTAAGGGACATAACTCTTTCTCTCGAACTTACTAGCTTACCACACGAAATGATAATGCACAACCCTTTCATGTTCAATACGATTTAAATTGTCCGATTCTAGACATCATAACAAAATTCACAGCTTCATATTGTTTTCACAAGCACACAAAAGGAAACAAAAGACAACGTTACTCGATGCAAACTTCCTATTGTATTTTCGTTATTTTAACCAGGGATAATCTACAACACGTTATATAGTCTCTCTGTTTTAACGACTGTTGAATTTGAAACTTTTCTGTTGTTTGGATTTCTATGCATACCACAGAAACACCACACTGTAAATACAATAGTGTAAAAACAATCAATAGGTTAAATAAAAGGAGGGAGGATATGGCTTTATGTTGGACACTGCTGGTGACTGAATAATACAATGAACCTAATCAACACAAGCAAACACGATTTTTGAACGACATGCACTGCAAATACAATAATCTAAAAACAATCAGTAGCTTAATTAAGAAATATAAAGTGACGCAGGTCAAACGGGACCGCATTTTGAGAACATGATTCAGTGAATCTTCATTAATCCGAATCCTGTTTATAAATCCGGAACCCCTGCAGTAGTGCATCTATTAATAATTATAGGCGGATCAAGGCAGGGGTGCGCACGCTCGCGAGCACGCACGCACGCACACACACACACCATGTTGTCATGGAAGTCTATTTAATGACCATTGAAACTCTCGTCAAAACGGGTGAAAATGCGGAGTGCTGTATAAGCCCCAGTATGACTACTGTTGAGACGTATGTATCAGTGTTAAAGGGACATTACCGTATGTACCAATTATTCGATGCTAAGGGCTTATGTCCTTGGCTGACTGACTGAGTTTGGTTTTACGCCGCTTTTAGCAATATTCCAGCAACATCACGGCGGGAGACACCAGAAATGGGCTTCACACATTGTACCCATGTGGGGATTCGAACCCGGGTCTTCGGCGTGACGAGCTAACGCTTTAACCATTAGGCTACCCCACCGCCCCTTATTTCCTTGGAACAATGCCGCCTGCTCAACGGGGTTCCAGCACTGTGTAGTGTATATGAATTGTATTTTGCTGATGACTATACGTTAAGCATTGTTCAAGTCACCAATAGTCCATCTCTGATGATGAAACACGACTTCCATACTGGACAGATAAGAGTTGATATAGACCGACAATTCTGGTTTGGTACATTTGATATAGCTTGACAGTCCTTACAACCAGGGGATAATCTACAACGGTATATCGTCTCCCTGTTACAACAACAACGGGGGCGGTGGGGTAGCCTAGTGGTTAAAGCGTTGTCTCGTCACGCCGAAGACCCGGGTTCGAATCCCCACATGGGCACAATGTGTTAAGCCCATTTCTGGTGTCCCCCGCCGTGATATTGCTCTAATATTGCTAAAAGCGGCGTAAAACTAAACTCAGTCAGTCAGTCCCTGTTACAACTGATAATGGGTAACTATCGGTAACTAACAACTGCCATTAACTACATCAGAATTTCCTTTGTCTCAGGAACTGACAAATAATATGAGATATAATATTCGTAACGATTGAGTAAAATAAAAATTATTCAAGATAGAGCAGTGCGATCACCTGATGGTGATTGAGACATCCGAGCTAGGTTAATTCTTCAGAATGGTGCCTTCCGTCGTGTTATGACAGGTGACACTTCCGTGATACACCTGTGCTGTTAGTGAGGAACAGGAAATAAGAGGATTATTACGGGAAGTGTAATAATTGTATTATTACGTCATTGCAGAGCTCGAGACTTTATCGACCGCCTCCGTGGTGTAGTGGTTAGAGCGTCCGCCCCGAGAGCGGAAGGTCGCGAGTTCGATCCCCGACCGGGTCATACCAAAAGACGTTAAAATATGGTACTTGTTGGTCCCTGTCTGGCGCTCGGCATTAATGGGTACAACAAGGACTGGTCGGCTCGGAGTAAGTATAATGTGTCTGAGTGGGGTATTCATGCTTCACTGCGGCATGGTATCTCAGTGGGCTAGCACTATAAAACCAGCTTAAGTCTGGGCTAGCACAAGCAGCCGCACATACACATACACACGCATGCACGTTCTCAAGCACGACGTTAAACCCAATTTCACCTCACCTCACCTCGAGACTTTATCTAGAACAATATGTTGTTTGATGGTGTAATTATAGCTAATGATCGAATATATACTGATTTACAAGGAAAACACCTCAACCCCCATACAAAATCCGGAAAGACGTGTTTTGTGCTAAAGTCCATTTCCAACACCGAATGAAATCTGAAATTCTAAAATAAACTTTGACTTTCACATGGCTAAATACACATTAATTCGATTTGCGTGGAAATATTTCCAAATCTTACAAAGCCGGAATGTGTGTTTGGAGATTGCCCCGATAGATATGATTGAAATAATCAAGTTATAAACTCGTTGTAATTGTCTCCAGGCCAACAGCCACTCTGGTGCCACAACGTCCACCCACATGTGTGGGACATCACTCCGTCAATGGCGGGGCGCAAATAGCAGAGCTAATTGTCACTACTGTGTTTTGTTATTTCCTTTTGCAATATCTGCATCATTTCAAATCCACTTATTCCAAATGTCAGTTCCCAGATATACATTTATCAAACATGTCTAGTGTTTGCAGAATGTGATGACAGCAGATGTTCCCGAGTTCGGAGTGCTAATTGCTTTCATGTAAATCCATTGTTATCTACGATACATACCGAGATAAACTCATATTCCATTTTACGTCAAGAGTTTTCGATTTATCTTCTAGACTCAGACAGAACACTTTCTAAATTCACCCACACATATACTCACGGAATTGCCAGAAATTCTCTGTGCATCACGACTCTCGTTTCTCACAGCTACACTACTTAATTAATGCACATACAACTTTCTAAAGCTTCGAACCTAAGCCGAAATGTGATCATTTGTACCGTATAGAATAAATGTGCTCTATGTTTGGTAGAATATATATGGTAACATATAGATTATTAGTGGCTTTGCCATCAGAGGGTGTTGAAGTAGTGTAAAATCATGGTCCCTGGATTGGTTATGGAAGACCACGTCATTCGAAGTATATTTATTTACAGTGTTTTTAATCGTAGAACCCGTGAAGGTCCGGGTTAGAATATTGATCTTCAGTGAGCCATGCTTGTTGTAAGAGGCGACTAATGAGATCGGGTGGTCAGGCTCACTGACTTGGTTGACACATGTCATCGGTTCCCAATTTCGCAGATCGATACTCATGCTGTTAATCACTGGATTGTCTGGTTCAGACTCGATTATTTACAGACGGACGCCATATAGTTGGAATATTGCTGAGTGCGGCGTGAAACTAAACTCACTCACTCACTCAATCGTAGAGTATGTGTTCTTTTTATGCTTGGCTAAATTTGTCACAATCGTCATCGGCTGAAATGTGTGTGCGTGCGTGCGTGCGTGCGTGCGTGCGAGTGTGCGTGCGTGTGTGTGTATCCATGCAGGTAGCAAAAGTACTGTTAGTCCTCATGGTCCTAAGTATGGTGTTCTACCTTCGGTTGCTGGCGATCTATGACCCATTTTACAGTGTTGTTGTTTATTATGTATTCCTTTAAATGCTACCATCTAGTTTTAACTTGTACCTATGATAATCTAGTTATTCATATGCTTTCCTATTCGTAATGTATTCAGTCTTCATATTTAAATTCTTGTCACGATATGGCTGAAATATTGCCGATGTGACGTTAAGTTTCAACTCACTCACTCACAATCACCTAATCAGAAAGCTATATCAGTGTTGGATCGAGATTCACGCGTTCTATACCGGAGGTACTGGCTGTCAACGTGATGAATGTTAAAACTGCTTCTCATCTATGGAGGCCGATGTTAAGCAAGCACAAAAATATCACTACGTAACATAACGCTTATGTCGTGTCCAATCATAGTCATATATTAACTACAGAATCATACTCAACTAACAGAATATGATACAGTTTTTTTATTTATGTACACGTGTCATATTGCTCCCATTTCTAACATATCTGATGAAACAGAATATTAAGGTGAGGGCCTGCAAAAATGTCATATTAGGTCAGTTCAAAACTAAAAGTACAAACCAAACAGTTGATATAATCTTTAACATACAAAACAATGTAGACAATATTATGACAACGCAATAACGCAATGGATTACGGTGTAACATGTTTATAGATCCCGTTTTACAAATTTCTATTCTTTAACAGTTTGTTTAGTTAACAAATGGTTATATAAACAATTAAAATAGGTCGTCTCTGCTTTAGCACCATAATATTTGGGTGTGGCAAATGAGACTTGGACTAACGATTTGTTCCGGTAGTTTCAATCAATTTTGTAAATACTCTCTTGGACAATATTTGTCGAGATTTGATTATTTTAGTAAATGAATCATGCGTGTACATATGGCACAGTGTTATGGCTTTAATTGGGTTGTTACGTAGCAAAATATGGCTCAATATTTGGATCAAAACTGGAATAGCAGGCTCGTTATATTTGTTCACAAAACATATGGCGAAACGCTCCTTCAGCAGCTCCATGCTATGACTAAAGACGACACATTTGTTTTCAACATATTTCAGAATGTATTATACATTATAACACCTTGGTTAAAGATCGGCATTTCTACTCGGTGTCTTTCACTTGACCCAGAGATCATAAAATATAATACTTTATTGCCCGACAAAGGAATTCCTTTTACAACAGTGAGGCATACAGTATGGTCAAAACAAATTAAGCAAAGAACAACGATCACCTTAAACACACAGATAAACAGGATGAGAAGGATAACCAGTGTATACTGTAAGAGACTAGTAGTCAAATGCATTTAAAATTGTGTCTGGGTCTAACATTCATTTAAAAGTCTAATGCTAACAGGTATAAAAGATGTTTGGGACCTTTGGGAATCTACGTCCAGATGGTAAAAGTTTAAAACAAGAATGTAAATCGTGAAACGGGTCG